TCTTTTTTTTCTGGGGCTTTCTAGTATTGGGAAATTAGCTTATCAAAGTTTTGGTCTTTTTTTAAAAGAAAATAAGATGTTAACTGCGATAATTCATTTCAGAAATTATATACATATACAGTATACATAATTATATACACAATTCTATATCTATCATATACAGATTTCAATTTTCATGTGCCAAATGATTGACACTGTTTATCCAATAATTCCCCATTGCTCTAACACACAGTTGACAAACATGTTGTCATTTACACACACTGTGGTTTCTGATGCATTCACACTGAGGCACAGCTGATCGTGGAGCAACGAGCAGCTTTTGTTATATTTAGATGTTTGCCCCACTTTTTGCACTTTGCCTCGTCCCTTGTCAGCAGAAAACAGAGTGAGGAGAGGAAAACTAAGTTTGCGTTACTCCAGTTTAGCTGATGTCAGTGCAAAAACAGCTACCGTTCACCTGAGGATTCTCCAACACACACACAAAACAAAAACCCTAATTCTCATTTAGGCTGCGATAAAGCCCTAAACCAGTTTGGTTTCAGAGTTTCTTGTTGGGAGAGGTGGGAGGACAAAAAGTGGGCCAACATACTCTGTACCTACCCTTGTCATACTCCCATAATGAAATTGAAAGATGCAGGAGAGGGAGAAAATGAAGTGTGGAGTCAGAGTCAAGAGACTGACTGATTCTATCATCCTTTTATCAGAGCTTTAGATTCCAACACCTGGAAACAAATCCAGAAGTTAGAAACTGAAGGTTTGATTCCTACGCTTCACACTGTAGCAGAAACTGATAGATTTAGTTCAAGTGACAAAAAAAAAAGATTTTGGGATCATGGTACCACATCAACACAATAATGGCATCACTGATGATGACATGTCTACATCTGTTCTGTTCTGTTCTGCTCCAGGTTTGCTCCCTAACTGGTTTGTTAGGAAACTCTTGGCATTTTCGTGGATGTTTTACTGAACAATGATAATATTTTTCATAACTGTATTTATTGGACACTGGTATAATTAATTATGTTAAACTATTATATTATTCATATCATATCAACAGACTTACTGCTAACAAACCCACTCAAATTTGTCTTGTGAAGACCAACATCCATTCATACATATTTTTCATAACTGTATTTATTGGACATTGGTATGTCCAATAAATATATGGTCAAGTGTCTAATTTATGGTCAAGTGTCTAATTTATGGTCAAGTGTCTAATTTACCTCTACTGTGGTTCAGAATCTGGGAAGCCCCTGAGAAAACTCCATATACAGTACAGTAGAAATACCATTAGTTACCACCTGGGGTACAAAGTGATCTTGCGTTAAGGCAAGAGCAGCAAATACTTTTCCACCATGTGGCCGTAACAAATATTCCAAAGCAGACATTTCCTATACACTAGCAAAGAAGGAAATTTAAAAAGTACTTTAGTCATTTTAATCCAGTATTGATGACTAACTGACAACGAGTTAAACACAACAAGCATACTAACTATAGGAGGTGGTGGAAATGCCACTCAGGAGTAGAATGGAAATCTGAAATGATGGACAGCTCCTGTACTTGCTGGCAGATCATCACAAGCATTACTTATCTCTCTTTTATCAGCGACTATGCCTGAACTCACATCCTACAAGACAAAGCCAGGAATACCAGTGATGAATATGTATGAAAAACCATTCAGTATTCAGTTATTCACAATGGAGCTGATGAAGATGAATTGGAAGTAAGTTCCACTGGCTGCCAGCAGGATACTTCACACTTCCCTCCATGATTTTGAATACTTAATATGTCTTTATCGCACATCTTTATGTTTATGATAGGTTTACTTTGCTTATTTTTTGCTTGGTTTTGCATCATTTTCTCCAATTTATGATGTTGTTTTTTGTTTGTTTTTTGACGGTTTCTTCTTTGTAGAACTGACAATTGGAAAAGTTACTCCTCAAACAGCCTAACAACAAACAGACGCAGCACACTCTCAGCTGAGAAGTCACACACGCAGAAGAACACTTTGATTACATTATTTAATGGCTTCTTTCCCCTTATTTTCTGGGAGGTATGGCAGTTACCTGCTGTTGCCAACACTAGACGGATTTCCATTCCCTTCAACTCTTCCTCCTCCCATCTTCCTCCCTCACTTTGACGACCCCCTTTAAACCCGCCTGCTGCGAGATTGTGTTTTGATCATTTGCGAGCCGTTCACCAGACGGCATTAACATGCAGGTGAATACCTGTGGCTTCATCACGTCAAATTAAGCCAATCAAACGCTACGATGAGGAAACAAATCATTTCCACTATCTAAACTTTTATCCCTTCTCTCTTAAAAATATTTACATTTCCCAGCTGTTTTCACCCACAGACATCTCTGCAGCACTTTTGATGAAGCCGTAGTGTAGTTAGCACATAGAGTCGGCACATTAATAAACCCTGACAATGTGGGTTTTTTACAAAGAGCCATTAAGAAGACAGATGTCACCTGATACACTCATCCCTGGGCTAATTTGGAACCCGTAACCAGAACCTGTCTGCTATGCGTGGCTGGATTTGCCAAAGGCGAGTGTAATTTGTGTTATAATCATGACAGATATTGTGCGGCGCCAAGGTATCAATCATTTTTGTTTAGGGCATTTTACGAGAGGGACAATGAGCCAAACACCTGTGAGCGTATTAGCATGCCAAAAACTCAGCCCCATTTCAGCTTCAGCAAATTACATGCATTTCCAGCATTAGGTGAAAAATGATTGAAAATCATTTCTCTGAGTTGTAAAAAAAGTCATTTCACAATAGCCTCTCCACTCCAATTTTTAAATATGGGCCATGTTCCTCAAGGTGACATTTTTCCTCTTCAATGACTCCTTTCAAAGTCGCCCACTTCTCCTACATCTAGGCTCCTACATTCGTCTTATTTCTCTCATTAGGATGCCCCACTTGTTGTATTAGGATCTGAGCAACATGACCAAAAGCCATCTTTAAATTATTCAGTGATTCTCATTCACAACATGCAGGATCGAAGCAAATGGCTTTAGTGCATCATTCACTGGCTGTGAGACGTACAGGTGTGAAGAGCATTCACTCGCCTCAGGGACAGGGTTCTTCATGAAGGTGAAACATTTTTGAGGAAAGAAAACACTGGATGTGTTAACAAGATGTCCAGGAACGGTGGTTGCACTTTCTAAGAATTCAATTTGTCTGAAATTGGTGGTTTTTTAAATGTTCTTTAACCACAGCTGAAGGAGAATATGCCAACTTTGAAATGTATTTATCAAAAGTTGTGGATTTACACGCAGAGTTAGACATAAGGTTTCTGATGAAAAGAGTCCATTAGGGAAAATCACCAGCACACATTTACTGAACAATCCACACATTTATAAAATAAATATAATCACCATTACTGTGTTTTTTAATTGTAATATTTCTGTGTTTAAATTATACAAATATTTCACAGGCAAAACTGTACTGGCATTGCATTAACTCGATGCTATAGCACCCCCTACATGTCAACACATTGACAGCTATTGTTCAAAGTTCACTTAACTTTTTTTTTATTTAAATTTTAACAAATGGATATAACGACAAATTGGTGACAGAAAAATCATCTAAATTGAAATTAAGTCATAAAAAATCCATATGCTAATTCTACAATAATAACGATTCTTACCTGCCCACTGCGGAGGCGATGGTTTTCAGCACCAATTTGTCCATGTCCGTGTCCGCGTCTTAAAGGGATGTCCATGTCCGTGTCCGTGTCCGTGTCTTAAAGGACTTCCGCTTTAGGAGTAAACAAAATACAATAAATAAAAATAAACAAATGGTGTCGTATGTTATTAATTAACAATTAAGTAAATAATATATCGGGTCATGCGTGACGATAAGTGGCGCACATACGCACCTGTGACTGCAACGACAAACTCCACAGGCAGAACTTGTTAGAACGTTAGCTTCTCAGTTAAAGTTTGCTTTTACACATGTTCGGCACACGAGCCGCCAAAAGTTTTTCTTTCTATTCTCTTACAAAAATTATATATATATTTTTTTTTTGGCTTTCCTTTCCTAGCGTTTTTCCTTTTTATAACTTACTTTACTGACATCTGCTTACCTTTCTCATCTTCATTTGCACAATGCTAATATCAAAACAACTGACGTCACCACGGTCACCGTAGCCTTTGGGTTGCCAGGTTAGGGCAAAAAACCCCTTTGTTATTATGTTTTTTTTATTGCAAAGTGACATAAAGAAGATTTTAAGTCAGACATTCCAGGGAGATGTGATTAGTATTCAGCAGTTTTCTTCAACACAGTGTGAGGGAACAGCCACTTCCAAACAGTCAATAAAATGTCCCCCTGAAACTTCATAGGAACCTTGTCCGCTGTGTTTACAAGTGACCAGACTGGTTCAAACTGGCATCAGGGCCATACAACTCTAAATACAGAGAGGAGGAATAGCAATGACCTGTCAGAGGCTAATGGTCCGTACTATAATGAAACACAGAAGATACTGAATAATTGTCTGCGTGCTTCCCTCTGCTCCCATTTCAGACAGACCTATTTCATTTGGTCTTACTTCATTACACCTCGGCCCTGACCAGGCATCATGAGTGAGGCCATACAGTGTATTTACAAGTGTGGACAATCGATAGGACGGCATTTGAATTAGTGTCACTGTCACAGTCACGAGGAGTGAACTACAAGTTCACTTTTTAACCTTAGGTTTGTGGCAGTGATTTTTCACAGGCTGTAGAATTGATGTTGTCCACTCTAGTAGCTCAACCTCGGTTGCCAGTCATGATAAAAAACACAAAAAGGTTGATGAAACCCACAGACAGTTGCAGCCCTGATTTTTCCTCACTAGGACACAAAAAGCTCTGTGGACTATGATTTAGAGATTTATTGTATATCCACTCAAATTCTCTCAGGTCAAATGTGGACAGTCGGTGAATAACAATTTTCTGATAATTCCCATAATTTTCTAAAGGCCTTGGGCCAATACTGTCAGCTGGGTTAGACTGCGACATTTAGTCATCCTTTAACAAGCTTAACCTCTTCAAATTATGAGTCGAATTCTCACGCGGTCCGAAATATCAAGGTGTATGAAGGTCAATCTCTGGTATAGACAGATTTTTTTTTATTATTATCTGAACCAGCAGTCTTTTAAAACCTTACAGTTAATAACAGCAGAGGGGCTTTATTATGTTTCAAGAATTGAATTAACCTTCGCAGCAGGGAGTTCGTAGTGACAGGCCGTTTGATTCTTAATAAATTAACTGACGGACATGTAGACCAGTGGCTACCAAAATGCGGGGCAGGCCCACGTAGAGGGTTCAGGGCTAATGCAGGAAGGGTGCAGAGAAATGAATACATTAAAATTTTAGTTTTTTTCTTTATTGTGTCAAAGTGAGAAAAAGCAATAAATTGTCATTTTATTTAATCTGTTTAATCGATTAGAATACGTAGCAATTAAATGTTTAAATTTAGTTTAGTGTTTGAAGTGCTTTGAAGTTGAATCTGCGAATGTGTCAACGTGTGGGAGCTTGACAATAGTTTTATTTACAAAAGGAAGGAGCCAATGATGTAGAGCCACAATCCGCCTCCTCAGATTAATTTAATTTGACAGACTGGAGACTAAAATGTAGCAATAATTAATCCCTGGGGACATCAAGTGACGTGTTTGATGTTTTTCTTTCGGGATGTTATAAACATCAGTGGTTATAGAAACAAAATTGAAAAAAAAAACCTTCATGGTGTCTTGGAAAATGATGACAGTCCTAGTAAATACTGAGCAGTGAGTATTTTATGATCATTAAAGCTTTCTTTTTGCAGGTGCTTACTTTCTGAATGCACTGAAGGGTTCAAAATGTGCACTAATGTCAAAAAGAGAGATTACTCAATATTACTGCAGTGTAGTACAGTAAAATATAGTGTATATTAAAGTAGTGGTGCTCTGTGCCCCACTAAACACAACATTAAGTTGATGTAAGAAGTGTATTTTTGATATATATCGTCCACAGGTTTTCCTTAAACGCTCACAAGACTAAATAGGTTTATGGAGCAAAGGCCCAAAGTAAAAACTCCCAGGTTGATGCTCTGCCAGGAGATGATCTAGTGCAAACAGCTACTTAAAATTAATTGTCAGAGAGAGAGAGGGGTAATACGGTCCACATGCTAACTCACCGTTCGTACTCAGCACATTCCTGAGGTCTAAAGTGCACTTGTGGACAATCATCTCAAGCACAAAGCAGCTGCAGGGGAGCCGTTAGAGCCAGGCAGTTCATAAAGACCTAAGATTGACCCCAGATTGGGTTAAACTGGAGCATTTGCATCAATTAATTCTATGTCAGCATCTCAGAGATTTATCATAAGTCTAATGGAAAAAAAAAAACTGGCATTTCCTCTGATCTGTTTCAGCTCCTCTCCTCTTGGCTACCACTCTCCTGCCTCCATCCCACTGGGGTCCAACCCACAGCCCATTTTCCACAATTGTCCCACAGTGTCCTGCTGCCTCTGGCTCCATCACCAACATCTGTTCCCTATCCCTGTTTAGAGCCAGGAGATGCTAACCGCCAAGTCACCACTACCTTCGGCGGCAGCGGCTCTGCCGATTCCTGCCAAGCGTCTGATCAAAGGGGACAGCTGTCGAAGAGATCGGCACGAAAGTGTTGCTGCATGAATAAAAAAATGGAAAGAGAGGGGAAAGATACGCAGAGCCTCACCATCTCCGCTCACCCATTCAGGAAAAAAAAGTGATTCGAAGCTAAAACCATGGAGCCAAGCCTGGAGGAACGGCCATCGTCTCTACTTAAAAGCTAAGAGAAAAGCTGGTGACTGAGGACGCTCAGAAATATAGAGGGAAGCCAGGATGTGAATTCGAAAAAAAAATTAGGCTTATTCTGACCATTTAATTCACAACAACTACATCTTTTCCAGTAACTTTTTAAAGCCACAACAGTGGTGATGAGGTCACATGTTAGAATAAAACAAGTTCATACAAAAATCAAAAGTGAATAAATGGCCCTTTGGTCTTTGGCTGCTGTTTGAATTGTTGTAACGTTCCCTAAAACTCAAAGGACAGTCGTCACTTTGTATTGTATTGTATTATGTTGTTTGATGTTTGGAGATGAAGGACATGCGCTGGTCTCCTCCAAATGCTTCATTTTATTTTATACAAACTCAGATTAATTAGTTTAGAGGCTGCCGCAGCTTTGATGAAAATGAGTAAACACAATGTAATTTATTCAATCAAATAAAACATCTATTAGTTCAAAGCAAGCTCAGACATGCAGTGTGGTTCATATTTAAATGTGAAAATGATGAATAGTCACACAGTGAAACAGCATCACTGCCTGCTGACAGCAGTCGTGCTGACCTACTGTATAAATCAAGTGTGTCTAAAGTCCTGACCTGGGGCCCAGTGTGGCACCAGGCCAGGTCTTATATGACCAAAAAAAAAAGAATTATTTTAAAAAGAATTACTAGGCTTATAAGCCTTTTATAATAAATGTAAAATGCATTTTGATACTTTTTCCAAGTATGATAATTTTAAAATTGTTATTACCGTACACTGTCACCAAGCCTATTTATAATTTCAATTTTTGGATTAGTCCCAAATAAATCGTGAGATTACAAAAGTTAATTTAGCTCAATTGATTGTCATCAATCATGAAAAATCACAGAAAGAAACTGGTGTTTGACAGCCCTTGTAATTACTTTTGAAATGATGTTCTTTGAAAGCAAGTATTTCTTAGAAGAGGAAACACAGCAACCATCACTGGCCACTAGGGGTTTAATGTGAGCCTTAGTGGCCAGTGAAGGCACAACAGGACAATTGAGTGGATCTCATAAATCTGGACAGCTGAAATAAAAACTTAAAATGAAACTTAAAAAATAAAAAGCAGAGGCTTCACACTCATCTGTAGCTTTAGATGCTACTTTCAGATGTAAGACCAAAGGTAAAGAGGCTGAAGAACATCAAAGGCTGCTTCTCTATATCAAAAGTTTTCTCATCAGAGGAACGTACACGAGGTGGTAAAAACATCTCAACTCCACCAGTCCAGTTCCTGAGGCAATCTGTGCGATGGAATTTAAGATCTGAAAGTTTCTGTGCCGTTTCTGAGTTAAGGTCACACTGACACGTTCCCTGCACCCTCAGATAAAAACTCACTTTTCTGGCCTGAGTAAAAGTGTCTCAGCAGCCAGTCCTCATCAATTCTGTGTGTAATGACTACATGACCATTAATGGTTATAGGCAGTCGGTCATTAGTCTTGCTGTCTGATTCGGTCTGGACGCAGGCTGTTGATTAGTGTTCCCTAAGGGTCAGAGTCTAGTGTCAGCAAGAACCTTTGAGATCCGCTGCTCTGCAGCTCAACTTGACCTTTGAACTCTATTTAGACTGTCAGATAATTCCACTGTCCTCATAATATTCAAAAGGTTAAGCAGTTCAGGAGGACAAAGACAGGTTAGCATCGCCACTAACATATCGTACAGTAGCGTTTGAAGTTGAACCAACTCAGACTCCTCCTCTGTGATGCAGTCGAATTCTATCATGAATATTAATGAGCTGATCTATTTTTGTGTGTGTTGGCTTCTCCTTTATGAACTGCTTTGCATTGAACAAGCTGAGGCACTTGGCCGTGCACCACATACAGTCAGTAGAAGCTGCTGGTGAATGAATCCAGACTGAAGCTAGGCTAACAATGCTAATGGACATAGCAGGTAAAATATGGAAAGAAAAGTTCAGGAAAGACTGGAAAAAAAGTGTGTTAGTAACCTTTTATCTTAGCATCCTTAAATATCAGGGGTCAGGACATGTATGTAGAGGTCAGCAGAGGTCAGCACAGCCATCTTTTTTACCTGGCTCCAGAACAAATGACACCTCGAAGGCACCCTTGTACTTGTTATAAAATTTTTTATTCAGAATAAAACAAACATAGCCATATTATATGTAGTGTGGTTGGACCTATTTTACACACCTCAGGAGAAACGACACAGTTCTGCCATGACGGTACTGTACGGTACAAAGTGATTGTAATCATTACATCTATCACCCACGGCATCACCGGTCTACAACTGGAGGAGATTATAGTAGTGTTGTTGACTCTCACAAGTTTTACAGGACAGAGCGCAGAGCACAAAAACACACTGTGGTGAGAGACCAGTGCTAAAGGCCAGTGGAACAACCAACGACAGAAGTAGAACTCGCCATTAAAAGCTGGCGTCAGCAGGCCACAGACCCCTCTGTGATACAGTAACGACAACTATTATTATTATTTTTTGTTCTTCTACTTGGTATCTCCTTGTTGCAGTGTACACAAATACAGTAAAGCTGGAGCTCAGAATGTTAATCCGGGTTGTTCCGCCTTCTGTGAACGGTCACGACGGCGTTGAACAAGTTCACGTAGCACAAAACCAAAACTGTGTCCATGAGTCTGAGGTAGCAAGGCAATTGTGGCTTTCCTCTGATTTCTCAACGTAGAGCTTTAAAAACATGACTATTCTACATAGTGATGGCAGGGCCCTTAAAAACCCAGACACAGAACCGCTTCTTTAGCATTTAAATCTATATTTTCTAAACTTTCTTTTTCTCTTTATACACAAGTCTCACTTTATTCCACAAACTCTTGTCTCGTCTTTCTGCACCTGGAGCAGACAAATCGTATAGGCACAGGAGGGATCATCCTTAAATGATCGAATTTCAACACAAATAATTAATGGACAACTTTGAATCAAGCATGCTACAAGATGGATTTATAACCAAAAAAAGACACAAAATCATCATTTCAATCACTGACTAATCTTAACGCCTGGAACTGTGTGTGCCCCCAAACATGGAATCGAACAGCTGGTCGCTGCCATTTTACTCTGACGACTGGATCACTGGTTTCAAAGCAGAGGGATGAGAAGAAAAGAAATCTGTAACCGTTTGACTCCCACTGAAAGTAGATCGTAAGGAAAACGAGAACCCCAATCCCCAACCGCCCTTAGAAAACACACAAACATGTTTTACAATACAAAGCCCCCCAACTTCTGTCCCCCCGCTCCCTCACCCACTGTGACATTGACTGCGAATATCCAAACAAGTCACTGGCAAATGCTGAAACCAAGTCCAAGTACAATCTACAGTTCAGAAAAAATGTACAATTTTGCATAGTACACGACACGACGGCGGTCAAAGGAGTTCAGTGGCCCGGTCCTGTGCATCTTTGGGACGGGTCGGGGTGTCGTTTGTTTGTTTGTTTGTTTGTTTGGGGAACGATCTCACCTCCTCCCACACTCGTGACTCACACACATACACACACTCATGCATACTCTGGTGCAAACACAGACAAACGTCATTCCATTTGGTCCTCACATCACCTGAAAAGAAGAAAGACGACAGATCACGACATGAGAGACGTGTTTGGCAAATCTTGGAGAATAAAATTCAAGTTTCAGCCCAGTAAAGCTGTGTTTCAATTGACAACAGTCTCTCTTGCTTCCCTGCAAAAAATGTCACTCAAACTGTTTATTATAAATTCAGTTTTTTGAAATAAAACAAAGTAAAAACAAAATATTGGTCAATTTAAAAAAAGTGACTTGGTGAGGTGTCAAAGTCCTCATCTATCCACTGTGTCCACGTTTGACTAGTGTGGAAGACATGAAGACGGTGCGTCTTCAGTCACACACAGGTGATGTTGACATATTTGTCTGGAAACGTCTGCAGTTGGTAGAAAGTAATCAGGTTTGAAAGCTGGTTAATGGGCGTCAGTCCCTCAAGTCTGTTACAGTCCATTAGGAGCTGGTGTGGAGGAAAAAAGAAGTGAAGGAGGAGCAGGAACGGAGGCAGGAGGAAGAGGAGGAAGAGGAGGAAGAGGAGGAGGGATGTGTAGCATACAAAACACAGACGTCCTCTAAGAAATGTAGTTTTTGCTAAGGCTAAAGTGTCTAAAGTCTAAATTACTGGAAGATGGAAAGTACAGAATAATTGTTATGAAAGTGAAAATTAGCAGAAAAAAACCCCATAGAAACCATTAAATAAAAAATAAGTGAAAATTAGCAGAAAAAAACCCCCATAGAAAACATTAAATAAAAAAACCATCTGAATAATGTAATTGTGTTGTAGGAGTGTTTCGATGGTCGTGGAGCCGTGTCGTACCTGTGGTCTGGAGGAGAGGCCGGAGGCTGCAGACAAAAAGACAATAACAGGGTTTAATATTTGAACTCCCCACAATTCATTTCTGTTTTTATAAGTCTACATTAAATGATCTGCCTGCGGGGTCTCTGCTGCTGTTTTTACTCCGACACTCTCCTCCTGCAGCTCAGCTGAGGACGACGAGGAGGACGAGGACGAGGAGAGGAAGGAGGTGCCTGGGAGCTGTGTAATAACCGAATGCTAATAACCCTCGCTGGAGCAGCTACCAGATTAGAATGGATTTTTAACTAAAGCACCGAAGCCCTCACAGGAGCTTCAAGTGTAAAAACATAGAAATGGAATTTAAAGATTTGAAGTCGTGTAATTTTTCGGGATTTTATTTACTTACTTGGTTATTTTTCTGCTATGATTTCTGAGTTCTGAGCATTTATATTATTTTTATAGGTAAAAAAAACCCCGTGCAGATGCAGAAAAGTCTTCATCACCACTGAACCTTCAGGATTCATGGCTACAGATGACTGCACAGATGCTTCCAAAGGCCATTACTTATACATGACATGATTTGTTCACACCCACAAACACATTAAGACACAGACTCGCTCTGTCTGTAAACAATGGTGATTGACAGCATGGAGTTAAAGGATGGAGGAAAAAGGATGAAAACAAGAAAAAACAAGAAGAGGAAGTGAAGCGTAAAAACAAACATCACATGATGTACGTAATTATCATGGGAAAAGTGAAGTATGTTTCTTGATTTTTCATCGTTTTTCGCACATTTCGGCTTTTAAATTAAATTAGAAATCAATGACTTTGTTAAATAATATAAATAAGTACATATCTTTCATTCAGTTTAAGTTTCATTATTTTATTTATTAGTTTGTTGGAACCACTGGTTTTTCTTACCAAGTTCTTAACTTTTGTTTCGTTTCTTATTATGACTTTACAGTAAAACATTTTTGTTTGTTTTGTTGTTTGTGTTGAACGTGTCTTTTCAACGTTCAAGGAACAAACTTCACTCTTCTCTTCTTATCAAATCTTCTCATGGAGCCTCCTGTGAAACTTCCCCGTGAGAGTTGAGTTATGGAGCGTTAAATGGCCGACAAGTGACCTTGTGGCGAGACACAAATCTGCCCTGGGGACGACGGGGAAGACACAGAGGAGGAGTGAAGAAGGAGGAGGAGGAGGAGGAAACTTACGACTGCATGCAGGGAAGGAGTTGTTAATCTGCTCCATTACATCAGCCAGGTCAGAGCTGCTGTTGTGGGAGTCCAGCAGCTCATCTGAACACAGATGTTAAATGTTAAATGTTCCCTCAGCCAACAGTCACTGATTACAGACCTTCATACATTAAATCAATTGCAGTGAAAGTGTTTGTGTTCAAAGTATCTCACCTGAGTTGTCAGGGACTCGATCGTGCACAGAGGGCGAAGAAACTCCGTTTACCCTGGAGTCCACGTCCGGCTGAGAGGGACAAGAGAGAGAGAGAGAGAGAGAAAAAAAAAACAGTTTTTTAAAAAACTATTCACTCCATGTAGCATCTTTAACACAACACAATTATATTTACTCCACAGGATTCTGAGAGGTACAGCTTATCAACACCTTATCAATTCCATTCATTCATCCATTTTCATCCGCTTATCCGTTACCAGGGGCTTCACGAGGGCAGCAGTCTCCATGACCACAACCCAAATCACACTGCACCGTACCAACCCCCCCGAACCTTCCTGTGGGTGGTGAGTCCACTGGAAGGTACAAAACCGCCCTAACTGGGATTCGATCTTGCCCAGGAGGTGAACCCTGTCGTTGGTTCCACACCAATAACAGAGACATTGCCTCTGGGCCAAGTGCCACAACATGATCTGAGTCATGTATTCTGGCCCCTGGTGGATTAGTGTTGTATAAATGCACAAAAATATATCCATGATATGTTAAACATGTCATTAAAAAAAACTATGTGACAAATTTTGATTATGTTGTAATGTTAATGAAACATCTCAGCTCAGGATTCACATGGTTAATATCTTTCCTGCAACATTATCAAAAGCAGGAAAAATATGAATTCTATTTATATTTAATGCTATAAATAATAAGACAAAAAATGTTTTTGTTTTTTTAATCCAAATACTGCTAACAGTTACGGTGACACACAGCAGTAATTGAGGTTTGACATTTACAGCATCAGCCCTCATTCCCTCTCTACCCTTTAGCTTTTCAACTGCACAATAACAAATCAATGTTGCCCCCGCCCTCTCTTTCCATCAGCCGTATTCTTCCTTTACTCTATCCCCTGGTGCTTGAGGCAATAGCAAAGGCTAACATGGTGAAAAAGTCCCCGGCGACCTGCCAGTGTCTGGAGGCTTGTCCTAGAATAGCTGAGGCAAAGGTGTTTTTTTGTTTTTTTCTCAGTAAAAATGTTCAGGAGTTCGGTCTTGATGGAAAGACATGCTGACGTTTTGTCAGATCCCAGAGGATTTAAATGTCAAAGCCTGACTTCTGCTGAGAGTAGAGAGATTTTTTTTTTACTTGTAAAGATTTCATTTTGTTACTGTTGCAAAGAGTGTGCAGGTCTAGGTCCGAGTCCGAGTTCATTAAGAGTTCCCCATTATTTCAGGTTTTAGTAAGACAAGTTCAAGTCACGTCAAGTCATGTCAGTGAAGCACACATGGGTTTTAGAGACAAAGGTTTCAAATCTGAAAATAAGTTTAGACTCAGTGCAGTCCCAAAAATCCATCCAAGTCCATGTCACCACTGAAAAAGTTCAGTCACAAGTTTCTCTATTTTCTGTGAAATAGTGAAACTGAGTCATGAGTTCTACTAAAAACCAATGCAGTAGTTATTGGTATACATGTAGTACAGTACAGTACTACTGTTCAACCAAAAACATTTCTCTTAAAACTGTTCCAACTCCTGTAGAAAATGTCACGAAAATCAAAGTTTTATTTTTTGTTTTCTCATCCAAACCAACCCAAACTCCTCCTGCACCGGAACACTTACTGTTATGACAATTCCCCTGCACCCGTTCCCTGTCATTTCCTGTCTGCCTTCTTGCAGCTATCAAATAAAGACATAAAAACACATATAACAAAGAATGATAAAAAAAAAAGTTTCTCTTTATCTATTAAAAAAAATCTGCCGACTCACTTTCGGGCCGCCCTCCTCGGGGCCGTAGTTATTGTGAATTATTGCCGTGCTCTCAGCTCCACTTCCACCACGGAGCCAATACCTGCTGCCGCGTTTGCTCAGTCTGATTTGTCAGAATCGCAGTCTGTTTGGCTTCAGGGCTGCGAATTCCTCACTTGCACAAACAACCCAACCTTAGAGAGCGATTAGGCCGTGCATAAACATTTGTGAGTGAGACATCGATGGAGGGGCCGGGGATTGATGCCTGACTCCAGGAGGAAATGCTAATGCTGTGATTTGGCTCTAATCCGGTGCTGATGAGCAGGTTTTAGAACCAAAAGATAAGAAAAAAGCACTGATGGATTAGCCTTATGAATATATGAATATAGCAGTGGGTGTGAGTGAACTGGAGCTTTGATTGTCGTTCTTACGGCTCTGAGGGAGGATGAATCTCACTTTTTTTTTCAATTTTATCCAGTTTTTTCTGCAGCAGGGTGAGATTTTAATGACTTTGTTCAATGTTTCTTACAGGTGAGACTGCAACAGCTGCTGCGCCTGACTTTTTCTACTTTCCTGCCTTACTTATCTTCGGTGATGAGTGTAATGAACCCACAGAGAATGAAACATGTGCCAAAAATAAACAGTAGATCCCCAAAAAGTTTGAATGTGGGCCGCGTTAGCCTGGAGAAGTTGCAGAAGTGATGTTGTGGATGGTCGCTCTATTCAGAGTGTAACAGGACACACCTACGGTTTGGTCAACGCTAGTCACCTGCTAATGCTAATCTTTGTGAAAACCAGGTAGCAATTAACACTGTCAAGTCTTGGCAACATCTTCATCAGTGGTTCCCACCTCTTGTTGTCGATGTGACTATTTCAAAGACCCCTCTTCACACCGACACATTCAGGAAACTAGCTTTTAAACTACAGAGGAACAAAACTTTGGGAACCAATGATTCACACCATCTTGATAAAATGGAAAAAAAGTCCAGGAGAAATATCTTGTGCACGGAGGTCAAGGTCATTTTCACAGCACTTTACTAGTTTCCTGGCCTTTGTAGAGTAGTGTGGTACTAATATCTTTTTGCTAAAACTTTGTGCTCTCAGCTGCTACTTCCTACATTTTTCTTATGAAGTCATCCTTTCAAAGGTGACAAAAGCTGATAACCAGCCTTTATATCATGTCCTTGTGAATTGGCCACTGGAGGTTTCAAGGTATTGACTTTGTTTTTTCCCATCACTGCTGTAATTTGACGTTAGTTCAACCAACACTTTGCAGTTGTCAGGGAGAAATCCACCACAGCCGGTAACAAGCGCAGAGCTCTTTTCACAGAAAGTGTGTTTTGACAGCGCATGAGTCGGTGCACATCTATCTGCTGCTCATCTCAGCCACAGTCCGTCTGCTCTCAGGAGAGAACTGTCCAACAAATCAGCCAAAGTGTTACAGTTTGTCACCTGGTGCAGAAGCTGTCGCAGGCGATGAAGCTGAGATTCCAGCTGTTTGTTGTGTTCCTCCAGGATGTGCATGCGGGCCTCCAGTCGACCCTTGTGTTGTCGCAGCAATTTGGCCTCGGCTAGTAGTTCGGCCTCATCAGGATGAGCAGAGGGGCTCTCCGACTCCCAGGTGCCTCCAGCAGGGGCTGCGCGCTGGCCGTGCTGCTCCTTCAGCTGCTCATATTCCTTCTGCAGCGTCCTGGGAAATAAAGATGGGAAAACATCATAAATCTGTGTTCGACAGCAGCGGAGGACACATGTTACAGTGTTAGCCATCTTTGTCAATGTGCAGAACGACGTTGGTACTATGTTATCACCAAGGTAACACTGACGACCAGGGTAATCACCAGAGCAGCTTTACAAACCAGTACAACTATTGGCTGAGATTTTTTAACCTGTGAACTCGCACTGTCACTGTTACTTCTCTGGATTGGATTTCAGTCAAGATGAAATGAACTGGAAAAGAACTGGTGGCTAAGAGAGTCTGAGCTCAACGCAGACCACAGTGAGGACGAGACGCAGGAAACAGAAAACTCTTTTAATCAAATAGGAATAAAAAAAAGCTTAAGTCAATTAAAATCATATTAAAAGATATAGAGCAACTTTTCTGCATAGTTAATGAACAGAAAGTGAGCAGAGCTTTTACACCAATGGAGCTGTAAAACTAAAAATTGTAAAGATACACTCAGACACAACAGTGTAAATGAGTGTCAAAGAAAAAGTCACCTGGTCAGGTGTCCGCTTTTCATTGGTCGACCGCGTCATTAATCTGAAGATTAGCTCATTAGCTCATTCAGAATAAGAACTTCTTCTAGCACTAATGCAGCCCGTCTTCAGTTTAATGAGCTACCCATCATGTTACTTAACTAAACTAACTAAACTACCCATGAGGGCAATTAGCCACTGAACTGAAGGAGTAAACAAAAGCAGTGGTTGGTGGGTACATACTGCAGCTGCTACAGAGTACCAGGTATCAGAGTACCTTTGAGGCGGCGTCCTCATTAGTGACTTCAACTAATCCCCAAACCAGTCACAAAACTGAAAAGAGTGGTTCTGTTCCATTTAAAGGGCAGAGCTGGGATTTTTCCAGGTGAAAATGTACACGTGTTTTTCCAAATAATCAGATTTGGTGGAGAACAAAGAGGGGGAGGTTTACAGTAAATCCTACCGATGGTGATTCCTGAAGGACTCTCTCTCACACACGGAGGACGCAAAAGCTTCTGCCTCAAATCCTAACAGTGGGGAGTCGGAGTGAAAAGGAAAACCTCACGCATGCACTTCCTCTGACTTCAGTAAATCCCATTTGAAATGGATTGACACACACACACAAACACACACACATAAAACCCTCTTTTCTAAATCTCCCACCTATTTCTTTCCTCACCCCTTTCTCTCCCCCAGTGCAGCACCGTAAGCTGCAGTTCTTCACTTAAGTTGGCATTTATGAGCCTGGCAGTAAAGTTCTCCTCTCCCCTCCCAGCTCTCCTGTAGCGCTCCTGCTGGATAATCAGCGCAAAAATCAACCCAGCCGTGACACTCACCGAGCATCTGTCTCTGTGTGTCTCCATTTACTAATCAAACTGAGAGGAGAAGCGGCGGGTGAGACACGTGGGAGGTTTGGGGGAAGTGACTGAGTGTGTGTTTATGTACTGGGCACCACAGTGGACTGTGACAACAAACACTTACATTTAAATGATGCCAGGGGAAAGCTGCTGGAATTAACGCTGGTTCAAGAAAGTATTTAACTGAAAAAGATCCAAACCTTTTCTGGTATGGGAAACATTTTAAACTTAAGTGAATATCCCACCTCTGCTCCTCTTCCAGCCGAGCGATGATCCGTTCCAGCTCCCCTCGCTCCTCCTTCTCCACAGCCTGCAGGATCTGCGCAGGGCTCTGGGGCTGACTGCAGGGGGAGCCCTCCCCTCCCAGTGTCTGACAGTACTGCAGGATCAGAGTGTGCTCGTCATCCCTGTGGAAATAAAAGTTAGTTATGTGACGTGTGAAGTGACGACCAAGCACCATAACAGATAACTTTGTCTCTGTGCTGCCAGCTCTAAGGGACGCAGCTAAAGTGATGCCACTGCAGCGGTCCGGGCACCAGAGACTGTAAGTTTGGTCAGCTCAATACAACTCCTAGTGGAACACTGACACATCACACGCTGCTGTTTGATAACTGGACAGGAGGGGAGTCCTGTGAGGAGCAGGATGGAGAGGAGGAGAAGACAGGTTCTGGCAGACTGATGGGAGGACATGGATGGAGGCTGCTGTTACAGTATGTATTCTGTGTTAATGTGTCTGTCCATTTCTTCAGGTACTGAACAGTGAACAGGCCACAGCTGTCGCCTTTACTGCTCAACAAAATCTCGGGAAGAATAAAAACTGACATCAAGTACGACGGCAGGCTGTGATTTAAATGACAAAAATTTTTAAATGACAAAAAAAAAAAAAAAACTCACTACTTTTTGACAACTTGGACTGAAGTTGGGCTGTGAAATTGTACAATTAAATATTGGTGTTTATCTGGGCTCAGATCAGTTTAAATGTGTTTCATGCCAACGTGCTTCTGTAGGTATTAGTGGTCATGGAACAAACCAACCCCTTATTCTGTTAGCATTAGCAATAGCAACAGCAGAGCAATAACAATAGCATTAGCATCAGGCTGGTCAGTTAATGCTCTACAGTAGTAGAATGGTTTTCTCTGAGTTAGGGCCATAGAGTAAAACCACTAACATCACATTAGATAAACAGCAGCAATAAAAAAAGAAAACTAACCAGGACTTGTCTTTATTTTTTTAAAGCAGCGCTGCACATTCACACACTCACACACTGCAATGAAGTTCACTCATAACCTCTTATCTCAGCCGGAACACAACCTTGGGCGTTAATGCTTGGTAATAATGGCCAAGTTAATTGAATACGCTGCTAAGGGCGGGGAGACAAAGTGAGATGTCTGTGGAATGGTACTGTGGTGAGACCGTGAAATACTCATGGTACTCTAAAATGTTCAGAGGGACATTACTGCCCCCTGCAAAACACTGGAGGTTGGAAATACAAATACTACAAGTGATTATGGTATTTGGTTAGCAGTGACTGAGGAGAGAGGACAGTTTAAATGAATGACTATATTCTCCATGTGTTTCTGTCTAACAGCGGTGATAAAGGAGACATGAAAGAATCTTTTGTCAAACACTGGCCGTGATGTTCTGAACATTTCTGCACTTTTCATCTAACAGAACAGAACTCGACATTCTTGAATTTATCTAAGAAGTTTCTCTTTTTCCCTCTTCCACAATTCCTCTAAGAAGTTTCTCTTTTTCCCTCTTCTACAATTCCCTCAAAATCGTCTTTTTTACTTCAGCTTTTCAAAATGTAACAAAAACAAATATATATATATATATATATATATCCCCTCTTCTTCTGTCAGTATTCCAGCATGTATGGACAGATGTACAGTATGTGGTTCCATTTCTGTGTAATGAGCAGCTGTGCTGAAACATGGCAGGGTTACTGATGAGTGACATGAAGAAAGCTGGCACCGACAGAAGGCCGAGGCTCACTCCACCTCTGCCCAGACACGGATAATGAAGAAAGAATCTGTCTCTGTGGGGAAAGGAGTAAATAGGTGGCAGTGCCGCCCGCTGTGGTCATGAGACCCGGTCCTGGGCGGTCAGTGACCAATTAGAGAAGGTTCTCGGCCAAAGGAAGCCGGGGCAGGATAAGCAGCAGAAGCCCCGGAGGACGGCAGGAAGGTGAAAACAGGGATGAGCTGCTTCACCAATCAACAAGCCTGGAATGGAGGGAGTGGTGGAAGAGACAGATAAAGATCAGCAACAGAGAGAGGAGAGAAAATGAAGCTCGAGCTCCTGCAGCAGTGGATGAGGAGAAGAATCCTTCTGTGCATGCTGATACCAGCGCTCATTTCATCGACTAATGATTTAATGAAAGACTGTGTTCACAACCTTCTTTCCTTTAGAGGGAGACTTAATGAAAAACAAAACAGGGAGTAATGCAGGACTAGATGACAA